ATTTGCAGTGGTCTGATACTCCTTCCATTTCAATATGATTGCTTGCACAGAGCTCCTTGGGATGTTTAAAGCTTGGGAAATTCACAACAGTATCTCGGACCTGCCTGGTGTGTTCCTTGGTCTTCATGATGCTCTCTGTGCTTTGAACAGAACTATCGCAGAGCAGGTGCATTTATACGGAGACTTGATTACACACAGGTGGATTCTATGTATCATCATCAGTCATTTGGGACAACATTGGATCATTCATAGATCCTCACTGAACTTCTGGAGTGAGTTTGCTGCACTGAAAGGAAAGGGGCCGAATAATATTGCACTCCCCACTTTTCAGTTTTTTATTTGTTAAAAAAGTTTGACACATCCAATAAATTTCATTCCACTTCACGATTGTGTCCCACTTGTTGTTGGTTCTTCACAAAAAATTTAAAATTTATATATTTATGTTTGAAACCTGAAATGTGGCAAAAGTTTGAAAAGTTCAAGGGGACGAATACTTTTGCAAGGCACTGTAAGTGTTAAAAAAGATGGTGGGAATGAATTTATATTTCAAATTCATTTTTTGTACTTTTCTGTTACACAAAATCGGAATATTAATCAGTTTTTTAAAACACAAAAAAAGCATACAACAATTACAAAACTCAAGTAACGCACATTTATTTATTTTAATTTTCAGATGCCCAGGTTTCTAAAGAAAAGCCCAAGCGAGTTTCTTCAAAGAAGGGTAAATTTACTGAACTCATTATTCAATGATAACTTTATTAGGCACACAAATATAAGCTTTTTAAAATTTGATTCAAGGTTTAAAGCATTAAGATGTTGTTGGAAAGCTCTAATATTTTAAACTTTGCTTATTTCAAAGTGTTTTTAATATAAAATCTGTCATTTATACTGACAAAAAGGGAGAAGCTCTAAACATGTAATATACCACCATATGAACTTATTGCTGAAATCACAACTTAAATCCCTTTATAAAGTCAAACAAATGGAACATTACATGTATAATTTTCAACATTATGGAAGGACAGCTGTGTCTATAACATCACAAATCTATGGACACTTTGTGGCGCTAATGGTGGCAATATTGTAGGGACGTACAATATTATCAACATGGTATCGGCCGATATTAGCGATACAGTTAAATATCGGACATCGGCCGTTCCATCAAAATAACTCACCGATGTAAAAGGCGCTGTTTAAATATACATACATACAAGTATATATATATATATATATATATATATATATATATATATATATGCATTTATATATATATACAAGTTTTAACATACTGACATATTGGATATCTGCCAAAAATCCTATAGCGTGCATCCCTACAATATTGTGTAAAAATACATTAATTAATCAAAAGGCAAAGTTTTGCTAACAGAATGTGTCTGAAGTAAAGGCCAAAGCAACTCCTGCCTTAAAATATATTTGTTTCACTTTAAATTGTTTTCACCGTTTTTTAAAGCCGTTTTTTTCTACACACAGAGGCTGCAGCTTCGAAAGAAAAAGCTAAACCTGTCATCCAGATCAAAGGTAACCATGGTGTTTTGTGCTAATAATTAGTAATGTTATAGTAACAAAAAGTAAATTCTTCATTTCTTCTTCCATGTGAGTGGTTCAAGCTGGGATGTTCAACAGACCCCCTGGCTTGATCATTTTTATTTCTTGTGTTTAGCATGATTTGAAATTACAAAATATTAAAAACATTTAGAGCAACTTATAGCTTGATACGTTCAAAGACCTATGGATCCTTGAGTTTAGATTTAACTTGTAATTTTTAGTGATGCTGAACCTAAACTGTTTTTATTTAGAGACTGCTCCAATGAAAAAACCACCCACGGTTAGAGTTAAAGGTAGAGCAACACAGAATCAGAGTTTATTTTTTCGAATGATTTATGCTTTTTAAGTACGCAGATCAGGTTTTAATTACTGAACACATTCTTTTTGTCCAGAGCAAGAAGTGTCCGATAAAAATGTGTCCTTAACAAAAGAGCAGGTGAAGGTGGTAACACTGAGGACAGGTAGGCACATTATTTTTATTATAGTTCAGTAAGCAGGTTGCCAGACTTTAACAAGTGCTATCTACTCTGTTTTTATGCCAAACTCTATTTCTGTCACAGTTCCTGCGGCTCCGAAAGAAAAAGTCAAGCCAACCATGAAAACAGTTAAGAAAGGTAGAGAACACGGAGTTATTAATGGAGCGCTTCAGTCTTCTTTAGTTTTTAAATGCTTTTGTTTTGTTGTGACTCCACTGATTCAAGATGTTTAATTTTGCACAGAGTGAATAAACTGTTACAATTTTAAATGCAATAAATTTAGACATCTTGTTGCCATGGCGACTCATCAGAATGACAGATGTCGTTGCTGTTTTTTTATTGTAGATGCTGAAGTTGTCAAGGAGAAAAAGGTTGAGCCAATAGCTCCTAAAAAAGGTTTGGGTTTAATATTTTTAACCTTTTAACTACTCCACCAAGACAAAAATTAAACTTTTTCTTTTCTTATTTCATGGGGTAATTGATTACAATGGTCAATGATTTTTTTTTTTTTCTATAACATTTCCATACCCAACACTTTAGTGTCCATTTTGTGAAACTTGCTAACAAGATGAAATTATCATTAACAACCTGAGCTGGTAGTATAAGTACACCAGCTAGTCTTACTTCATTAAAATAGTATTGGTATTATTTCTACGTTTTTCTCTATTTTAATCATAGGAACTTAGTTAAACTAATAAATCAACACAATTAAGGATCAGGAAAATTCCTGCAGCATATTCATGATGTACTAACACTTAAAGAGTCCTATTTACAAAAATAGATAAACTAGATTGTTTGAGCAAGTTGATTTTATAGTAAGTTATCATTTTTAATTGCATTAACTTAAATTTGCTACTTATACCATACAATGACAAAATCAACCATTTGGTCAAGGGCATTAAAAAATAAACATAATTTAATTTTTTGTGCTGCATCAAAGGTCATAATTGTATTTAGTAAGGCCTTTATCACCAAAATATGTCAAATAAGTATATATACCTTTCAAAGTTTACCCAAAAACAGTCATGATGCCATGCTTGATGTCCTGGTTTTTGACTTCCTGTTTGGATGAGCCTACCATTGACTGTCACAGCGCCATCTGGTGGATATTTATAACATTACAGACTTTAACCCAGTGGTAGAGATGGTTCATTGGAGTTAGACACTCCCTTCTTTGAAATTAGAGACTCAAAATGTTTGGTTGGCCAGGCAATCAAAGGGTAAAAAAGTATTTTATTTTATTATACATGTTGAACATTTTAACGGTTGATATAATGTCATTTAGTTGATTTGTTCTTTTTTCTTCATATTTTTCCCAGTAGTCTATATATCTTGTGTCATTTGCTGTGTTTTGTTTGTTTGTTTGTTTGCTAATCAGATGTGTTTAAAATTGTTTTTTAAAGTTTTATAAATTAATTTGTTTTCCAGTAGCTGCTCCCAAGACAAAACCAACTCCAGCCAAAGAGAAAAAAGGTAAAGCGATTCAGAGTTTTTGGTGATGCTGTAGAAAAACTGGTGAAGCTTTTTGTCTGAATGGTTCAGCCTGGTTCAGACAAAACTGCTTCATCATGTGAAAAAAAAAAAAAGCTTGTCGCTTCAGATTAGGAAAACTTCGCTGTAACCAACAGTGGTAATCTGATTACAACATGTAATTTAGCTACAACATAAAGACAACAGAAAATTATGGATGTATTTTTAGTAGGCAATTCAGATAATAAACAGCTATTGTGTCTGTATAAGTTTATATATATATATATATATATATATATATATATATATATATATATATATATATATATGTATATATATATATATATATATATATATAT